CTCCTCCTCCTTCTCTTTTTCCCTCCCACCCCTCTCCTACATCCCCCGCCTCCCTCCTCGTCCTCCTCCTCTGGCTACTCCTGCTCCTCCGCCCCCTGTTCGCCCCCCCCCATCCACACCAGGAAAGAAGGGAAGAGAGGGGAGAGAAGGGAGAGAGAGAGGGAGGGAACCCTTCCTCTTGCTGGTGCTGCTGATACTCCTCCTCCTCCTCCTCCTCCTACTCCTCCTCTGCTTAGTCCTCCTCCTCCTTTTCGTCCTCGTCCTCCCCCTCCCCTTCCCCTTTCGCCCAGCTCGCCCGCGGGAGATGGCGGGCCCGCTGGCTTTTAACGGAGGGCCTCCCCGCAGCAAAACATACACAAACAAGCGCCCCCTCCGCAGAGGCGGCGGACGAGGCGAAGGCGAGAGCAGCGCAGGACGAGGCCTCGGAATCCGCAGGGGAGGCGCCAGGTGCGGGAATGGAGGAGACGGATGCGGTGGAGGCAGCGGAAGCGGGCGGAGGCGTATGAGGGATGCTGCGTATTCCGACCGTGGGCCCCCTGGTGCACCCATCGGCCCTGGGCGATCTTCGGCGGTCTGCTGGTGGTCCTCGGCGGTCTTCGGCGGCCGTTTCCAACGGCCTTCGGACGGTCTTCGGCGGCCTTCGGTGGTCTTCGGCCCGCGGCATGCGGCGGTGTCCAGCGGTCTTCGGCACGAGATCTGGATGGCTGCGTGCAACAAGGGATTCAAGATCATCGAGCACCAGCGAGATGGAGGAGGGGGATGAGAGGCGACCAGCGTTTTACGCAAGGATGCCCCTGCTCGCGAGGGGGGCGGAGTGGGGGCGTTGGGGAAACCAAAAGGTACCGATGCTGCTAACTACTCCCCGGAGCTTTCCTAAAGTGCGTCCCGACCAGGATTTCGAGGCGGATCCAGCGGTGGCGACGAGGGCCTCCCAGGAAGCCGAGAGTGGGGAAGGCGGGCGAAGGGTCGAGGCAAGGGTACCCTTTTCCGCCTCTGAGGCATGGGCAAAAAACCGGCCGCTGGAGGCAGGCCTGCTTGTCCACGCCTGACCCCCCCCCTAGAGCGGCCAGGTGGGGAGGCATGGATCGAACGGCGTATACAGTGGAGGCCCGACCACCAGAAACCTCCCACAAGAAACCCAAAGCCCTGAGACCCCAGGGCGCCCATGGACTTCCGGCGTGGGAGCGCCGAGCTCTCCATCGCAAGACCCTCGAGAGACCCAAGAAACCCAGGGCACCCTGGAGACAAGAACACACACACAGACACAGACAGACACACACAGACACACACACATACACACACAAACACACACAAACATACACACACACACGCGCGCCCACCGGCCCGGAAGCCGTCCCTACGCGGGATGCGCGGCGGAGCCTCGGCTCCGGCCCTCAGATGTACGTTAGCACGGCGTCGATGCACCTCTTTCTCGGTCTGTGTGACCGTCTCGTCAGCCCAAGAGGTTCCCAAGCAGCAGGGCGCTTCGTGGCATGGGCCCCCGCTGTTCATCGCGAGGTCGAGGCGGAGGCGGCCCGCGGGGGCGGCGGGGGGCGAGGCGTGCGGCGGAGGCGGAGAGGGCACGGCGGAGCGCGAGAGGGCCAGGCTGCCTCGGGGATCCTCCGACCCGGGTCCATCCAGACTCGGGTCGGCCAGGCGCTGCATTGTGTCGGGCGTGTCCCCCTGCAGGGCGATTTTCGACGAAAAATAGAAAATACCCCAAAAATACCCCAAGACGGCCAAAAAATACTCAAAAAATAGTCCCCAGACTATTTTTGGATTATTGTTTGACTATTTTTGGGGCATTTGGTTTTTCGTCGAGAATCCCCGTGTAGGGGGACAGGCCCGATATAAGCCTTGCAGGATCCTGCAAGACCCTGCAGGATCCTGCACCCAAACCCGGGCCCATGCGAAGGATCCTGCAAGCTCCTGCAGGCTCCTGCACCCAGGCCCGGGTGCAGTGCGACCCTCTGGCCCTGCAGGGCCCTGCGAGATCGGGCGCTCTGGCGGACCCCCCGTGTGCACCGACCCCCGTCCCGAGGCTCCCGGCTGCCGCGATTGGCCGGGCGCCCAGGGGGCCCAGCTTGGCCCAGCAGAAGTCGAACTGCGGCAGCACGGGCTCCCCGGCGCCGGCGGGCACGCCCACCTTGCCGCGGCGTCCTCCCCCGAAGCATCACCTCCATGGCCGTGGCCCTGTCCACTGCCACGTCCATGGCCCTCACCGGCCATTCACCATCCCCACATCAGCATAGCCACAGGCGACAGCGCATCTTCAAGAATCACCGGCACGCACCATTATGATCGTCGCCACCGTCGTCATCATCGACACACGCAACAATCTCCTCATCGAAATCGTCACCGCGATCGGCACGAAACCGTGATCGTCCTCACCACCAGATGTACCCTGGCCGTCGCGCTTTGCACAAGATCATGTTTCGTGTAATTGTGCGCAACAGCCAAAACAACAAATAGAGGATCGACTCATCACGTCCGCCGTTCACGCCACACTTATGTCGGACCTATCTGCTATTCGAAGGCTCATGAAGGTGATGGCGTCAGGGTCAACCGAAGACTGCCACCAGCGTCAGTGGAAGGAGGAAGGAGGGGGTAGGAGGGGAGAGATGAGGGAGGATGAGAAGGAGGACGAGGAGGAGGAGGAGGAGGAGGAGGAGGAGGAGGGGGAGGAGGAGGAAGAGGAGGAGGAGGAGGGAGGAGGAGAGGAGGTGGAGGATTAGGGAGGAGGAGGAGGAGGAGGAGAGGAGGTGGAGGAGGAGGAGAGGAGGAGAAGGAGGAGGGTGGAAGAGGGGGAGGGGAGGGGTTTGAGGGACTAAGGGGGAGAAGGTGGAGGTGGAAGGAGGAGGAGGAGGAGGAGAAGGAGGAGGGGTGGAGGAGGTAGGAGGAGGAGGAGGAGGAGGAGGAGGAGGAGGAGGAGGAGGAAGAGGAGAAAGATATTGAATCACACCCTCCCTCCAAAATCCATCTTCACAAGCCCGTGCAAGGGGTCATTTCCACTGAAGGAATTGCCCCTGTGGGGTACAACCGTGTGAACGTCTCGAAGAGGGCCAAAACATCTCTTTCAGGATTTCGACGCCACGAGTTAACTCGACTGTTACGTCCTGGCGATCCCTGATTCGTGCCAGAACACCATGCCTGGGATCTCAACCCAGCGAAACAACGTCACTGCTGAGCCCTGCCAATGCTGAATCGTTCCAGGACGCCGCTTACGTGAGCCATGAGAACCAGTGAAACTTTTGCACATGCGATGCGATGCGATGCGATGCGATGCGACCACCGTTGCGGACAGCGTCCGGGCCTAGAGCAGACCAGGTGGGTGAGGCCATGGCCTCTAGGATCTGAGGTGTCTGGATTCATGCAATGCGAGACATGTTTACAACGAATGCGCGCGGCGCTAAAGGCGAGAACCACCTTGTGGAGACCTCCCGCCTTCGATCCGCCAAACTCTTGCGACTCTGTAAGACTACTGTGCGTGGTGCTACAGCGACAACCGCATCTTGAAAACGACCCGCCCGCAATCCTTGAAGTTCTGGCAAACGTTCAAAAACCGATCGTGCGCGGCGCGAAAGCGAGAACCACATTCTGAAAACGGCCCGCCCTCAATCGGTCAAACGCTTGCCAATGTTTGCAACAGATGTGCGCGACGCTAGGGCGAGAACCACTTTTTGAAAACCACTCGCACTCAATCCGTGAAACTCGTGCACGTGTTTAAAACGAATGCGCGCGGCGCTAGGAAGAGAACCACGTGTTGAAAACGAACCACCCGCAATCCGTGACAATCTTGCGAATCTGTACGAGTGTGCGCGGCGCGAAGGCGAGAACACCACATGTTGAAAACCACCCGCCCTCAACCCGTCAAACTCTTGTCATGTGTCTAAAGCGAATGCGCGCGGCGCGAAAGCGAGAACCAGATTCTGAAAACCGCCCGCCCCCGGTCTGCAAAACTCTTGCAAGTTTGCAAAACGACCTTGCGCGGCGACAAGGCGAGAGCCACATTGTGAAAAATAGCCACCCTCCATCCCTGAAGCTAGTCATTTGTTTATGCACCAAGGTCATACGTGGTGAGGAAGTCTCAAGAGAATCGCCCGGCCCGCCCTCTCGACCGGCCTCGGGGTGCGGCAGGGAGGAGGTATCTGTAAGGGAAAGAAATGGGCACTCCTCATCCACCTCCTCCTCCTCCTCCTCCTCCTCCTCCTCCTCGAGATCGATCAATCAAGAGAGAGAGAGAGAGGGAGACGGAGAAAAAACAGGAATAGTGATAAGGATCACGCCGAGAGGCACACGCAGAATCATCCTCATGACAAGACGAAGATTGAGAACCAAAAAGGAGCCCCCAGGGAGGCGTCCTCGGCGGCCCCCCCCCGAAGCCCAGCAGGAAACGGCGGCCGCCGCTGCCGCCGCCGCCGCACCCGCCGCAACCGCCGCCGCCGACGACGCCGACGCCGACGCCGACGACGACAACGACGACAACGACGATGGGCAGCTGCCGCCGCAGCCGCCGCCGACCTCCGCGCCGCTGCCGCCGATGCCAGCAGGAGGAGGAGGAGGAGGAGGAGGAGGAGGAGGAGGAGGAGGAGCAGCAGCAGCAGCAGCAGCAGCAGCAGCAGCAGCGGCAGGAGAAGCAGGAGGAGGAGGAGGATGAGGATGAGGAGGAGGAGGAGGAGGTGGAGGAGAAGGGGGGCAGGAGGAGGAGTAGATAGAGGAGCAGGAGGAGTAGGAGCTGGAGGAGGGTGCGGAGGAGGAGGAGGAGGAGGAGGAGGAGGAGGAGGAGGAGGAGGAGGGGTGGATGAGGGGAGGTGGGAGGGGAGGTAGCAGGGGAGGGAGGAGGAGGAGGGGAGGATAAGAAGGAGCATGAGCAGGAGGAAAAGGAGGAGGAGGAAGGAGGAGCAGCAGCAAGGGGAGGAGGTGAAGCAGGAGGAGCAGGTAGCAGGAGGAGGAGGAGGAGACAAAGAGGAGGAGGAGGAGGAGGAGGTGAGGAGGAGGAGTAGTTAGGTGGAGGAGGACCTTTGGCAACCCGCGGAGCGACAGGAGAAGGAGCCGAGGAGGAGGAGAGGAGAAGGAGGGAGGATGAGAAGGAGCAGGAAGAGGTAGGAGGAGGAGGAGCATGAGTGAGGAGGAGGAGGAGGAGGAAGGGAGGGAAGGAGAGGAGGAGGAAGCAGGAGGAGCAGGAGGAGCAGGAGAGGCTAGGAGGGGTTTTTTTTTTGGGGAACCTTGGGTGGGAGGAGGAGAGGAGGGGGGGAGGGAGGAGGGGGAGCAGGAGGAGGAGGAGGAGGAGGAGGAGGACCTTTGGCACCCCCCTGATCCAGACCCCTCCCCCCCGCGCCGCCTCGGGGAGGCTCGCGAGCGGCCTCAGAAGCACGCCGGGCGGCAGGCGGACCTCGGGGTCCCGAAACCCCAAGCAGGGAAGGGGAGGGAGGGAGGGAGGGCAGGGGAGGGGAGGAGGGAGGGAGGGAGGGAGGGGTGGGAGGCAAGCTGGGTGCGCTCGCGTCATATCTGACGTCCTACCCCTCCCCTTCAATTAACCTTTAAATTGGCGCCTGTTTTTCACTATCCGCGGACGGTGTCGTAGCGGAGCTGTGGTCCGCGCGCGCGTGCGTAGTGGTGGTGGGTGCGGCGTGTTAGTGCGGATGGTGCGTGTGTGCGTGTGTTGTGGGGTGGTGGTGGTGGTGGTGGTGTGGTGATGTGTGGGTGGTGGTGGTGGTGGTGGTGCTGGTGGTGGTGGTGGTGCTGGTGGTGGTGCTGGTGGTGGTGGTGGTGGTGGTGGTGCTGGTGGTGGCTGTGGTGGTGGTGGTGGTGGTGCTGGTGGTGCTGGTGGTGCTGGTGGTGCTGGTGGTGTGTGTGTGTGTGCGTGTGCGTGTGCGTGTGCGCGTGTGTGTGTGTGTGTGTGTGTGCGTGTGTTTGTGTGTGTGTGTGCGTGTGCGCGTGTGCTGTGGCATGGCACGGGAACTGACGCCAGCGCTGCAGCGGGAGCACGAGTCGAAACGGGCGGAAGCGCGGAAATGAGGCCAGCGCTGCAGCGGGAGCACGATTCGGAACGAGCGGAAGCACGGAACTGAGGCCAGCGCTGCAGCGGGAGCACGATTCGGAACGAGCGGGGCCCGAAAATGAGGCCGGCGCCTCAGCGAGAGCAGCATTTTGAAAAAAATGCAAGCGAAAACCCAACTCCTGGGAATCCTGTGTGCAAAAAAGCAGGACGCGGGGGGGGGTCGGCTACTCCCAGGACGCCATCAGGGGAAGAGGGAGAGTAGGATTGATATTGAGTAATTGTGGGGGGGGGGAGGGGGCAGGGGAGCGGAGGGAGGGATGGAGGGAGGGGAGGGAGGGCAGGGGGAGGGAGGGAAACGTGATCGAGTGAGGCGCCTCCAAGAGGAGTGGCGCATGCTCTTCGTGCACTGTCCCGCACCCTTTCCTGGCTCCCGTGCACGGTTTCCTCCACAAGCGGGCACGCTCCAAGCCAGCCACGGAACATAGGAGGCCAGGGGAGAAAGGAAAGGAGGCGGCGGAGACGACCTCGCCGTCGCTGAAGGCCACGACGTCGACCTGCGCGGGTAGGCGCTCGCGGAGCCTGCTGCAGAGCACGAGGGCGCCGTCGAGGTAGGCGCCGGTCGCCAGCGTGACGAACGCCACCTGCCCCCCTCGTGCTCCCTGCGCGAGGGGGGGGGGCGATGGAAGAAGAGGAGGAGGAGGAGGAGGAGGAGGAGGAGGAGGAGGAGAAGGGGTGGAGGGGAGGAGGAGGGAGGAGGAGGAGGGGAAGAGGAGTGGAGGAGGAGGAGGAGGAGGAGGAGGAGGCGAGGGAAAAGAGGAGGAAAAAGAGGAGGAAAAAGTGGAGGAGGGAGGAGGAGAGGGAGGAGGGTGGACTTCATCAGAGGGAGGAGGCGAGAACGAGGCGGAAGGGTGGGAGGATGGGATGAGGTAGGAGAGGAGTATGAGAGGAGGAAGGAGGGAGAGAGGGAGGAGGGTAGGATGGAGGAGGGGGAGGTAGGAGGGAGGGAGGGAGGGAGGAGGAGGAGGAGGAGGAGGTGGAGGAGGAGGAGGAGGGGAGGAGGAGGAGGAGGAGGGGGAGGAGGAGGAGCAGGAGGAGCAGGAGGAGAGGCGGAGAGCGGAGAGCGGAGAGTGAAAACAACGATGACGACGACGACGACGACGGCCACGGCGACGGCGACGGTGACGATGACGACGACGACGACGACGACGGCGGCGACGACGACGACGACGGCGGCGACGACGGCGGCGGCGGCGGCGGCGGCGGCGGCGGAGGCGGAGGCGGAGGCGGAGGCGGGGACGGAGGCGGAGGCTGAGGCGGAGGCGGCAGCAGCGGCGGCGGCGGTCGCGGCGACAGCCCGCTGGCCCTGCCGGCGTGTGTGAGAGGCTTTTCCGTTTTCGTCGTCGTCTTCGTCTTCGTCTTCGTCGACGTCGTCGTCGTCGTCGTCGTCGTCGTCGTCGTCGTCGTGGCCGACTCCCCCCTGGTCCCTGACCGCGGGCCCT